TCCCCATCTGTAAACCTCACAGGGATGGCATGTCTGCACAAAGTGGTGTGAACAGAGGGACAGAGCTTGCATGGATCAAATGGGATGATGCACATAAGGTATCTAGAGATAACCTGGCACGTGGTAAGCACTCACATGTTACGTATTGTTCTTACAATTATTATCTCACCCCAACTTGAGGACCAGGTCTGAGCATTCCCAGGAATAACCATTCCTCACCAGTCTTCCTGGGCCAACAAAGGATCCATTCTAGAAGGTTCTTTCAAGCTGCTCATGCTCTTAGTTCCTCATAGGCATGGGCTTGGCTCAGGAATATTTTTCACCCAGAAAAAAACTAACTCTGACACCGAATCCCAGGTTGGGGGTCTGTTCAGGCTTCTTGGGTGATCATTTAATACATTCCCCTCTGTTCACAGAAGAGAAGCATACAAACCGGAGATGGTTCATTTCCAGGTTTGCCAGGCATCCCCCAGCTGTTCTGGACCCAGAACTCAGGTCTCCAGACATCCAAGCCAATGTTCTTTCCACTCCTTCCTGAGCCTCCTGGGAGGCTGGGAGCTACCTGGGACCTAGTTGGCTACAGGCCCAAAGGTCACACAGCCTCAGGACATACCCAGAATTCCTCCCAACCAGCCTGGATAAGTTGTCCTAGAAAATTATTCTTGATTTTCTAAGATGTGGAGAAGACTAAAGGCGGATGATAAATGGCCATAGCTTTGTCAGGTTAATAACGTTCTACCCTACCCAGTGCCAAGGCAGATACAGTGCACGGCCATCCCACAGGACTCTGGCAATTCCCCCAGGGAGCTGTTAAAGTAGAGCCTTCCCACAGCACAGATGTTAACAGGTTTTCAAGGCCGCACCTTGCCCAAGTGTCAAGAGGACCATAGCAGAGTCAGGGATTCATTCAATTCCGCTACCATTCTGAGGGTTGGACCCACCATCCGAGGGCCCAGGGCACTAGGCCCATCTGAGCAGGGCAAGGAATGCATTTTTCTCCCAACCTTAGAAAGAGCTCTGGTATGGGATCACTGCCCCCATCCTCTCCCTGCCCCCACGCACCGATCCTGGCCCAGGTTCAGCTCCTTGGTGAGGAACTCGAAGAATCGGGCGCTGTGGCCACGGTTGTCCTCGGCTGTGCCTACCACACCGATGGAGGAGATGAGGAGTTGCGCGCAGGGCTCCGTGGAGCCGTTCACCGCCATGGCCAGACCTGGTCGCACCGTTACGTTCACGCGCTGCGGGGAACACGAAAGTTTCACATGAAGCCGGTGCAGGCCGAGTTCGCGCTGAGGACCCGGGAGGACGAGGGCCGACAAGCGCCGGCCCGTGGGGTCAGGGCTAGAGGCTCAGGGCGGGGTCCTTGGCGGTCACGTCGGTGTCAGGGCCAAGGAAGGAAGCACGGAGCAGACATGAGGGGTGGGGAGAGTGGGAGGCCAGGGCCTGGCGGGCGGGGACCCCTGCGACGAAGAGCCCGGGTCGCGGTGCGGAAGCCAGGGCGCGGACAGAGCCCGACCCCCGGCCGGGCGCTCCCCGGCCCACGCTCACGTCCTCAGGTTTGCTCAGGATGGCTGCAGTGGCCGCGCAGAGCCGCTTCTCCAGTCCTGCGGGCACACGGCCGGCGGGCAAGTTCGTGTCCAGCTCGACGAACGGCATGTCTGGCCAGAAGGAACTGGAGGGCCACAGCAGCAGAGAAAGAACGCACCGGGTGCGGGTCGCTGTTCCCAAGGGTCGCGGACTACGCAGCAGGGGCGGGGCGCCACGGAAACCAGGCTCCTTATTGGCTGGGCAGGCAACAGCGCCCCCGGATTGGCTGCATAGTCTACACCACCCCCCCTCTGCGGACGCTGATTTCCGGAAGTCCTAAGGCCGGACGGGGGGAGGGGGAAGAGTGAGGTGTATGACTGTCTCCCAAGCCGACTGGCTGAGCCACGGCCCGGCCCGGCCCACAGTGTCCCGGCCTCTACCGGCTCCCGACACACTGGCCGGGGGTTTTCTGGCTCCCTGGGCTACTGGGTGGTGCAGTCCTCTGCTTCCTAGCCCATATTTAGATTGTTAACCCTGAAAATAAAATAGCCAGCTATTTTACCAGTAAAAATGGGTTTCTTCGAGGATAGCAGAGAATTGCAATTTGGGACACGCCGCCTAAGACAAAACCACAGCCAAGTCCAACCAACAAAGAAGAGAAACGTTTTTTAACGGAGGAGAAGGAGGAGTTGGGACTGTTAGAAACAAAAAGTCCGCGGGGATAAGCTGAAAGAGTGTGGTCGCGTTTCAGTGGCTGAGCTGTGACAGTATCGCACTGGCTGGACGGGGCAGGGGGGTTGGGGGTATCTTTCTTTCCTCTGCTGGTAGTATATAGTCTTCTTTCCCTTGGGAATGCAAGGTAGGGTTCTTCCTGTTGGGGTTGCAAAGAGCTGCAAGGAGTAGTAGGTGTGAGAGTTCCCCCTTCTGGCCTCCCGACTTTATTGTAAATGAGGTTTTCTTTATTCCGTTTCACAAAATGGGGGTTTGAACACACCCAAAACATACACACCTGTAGGGGCCTTTCCCGGGCTCCATCCTAATTTTTTTTTTTTTTTTTTTTTTTACTGTGTTGCTACCATTTCCAAGTAAGGCGACTTCTCGTTATATGTTGGGATCTACACTTCTCTTTTTTTTTATTTTAAGATTTTATTTATTTATTTGAGAGAGAGCACGAGAGGGAAGAGGGTCAGAGGGAGAAGCAGACTCCCTGCTGAGCAGGTAGCCCGATGTGGGACTCGATCCTGGGACTCCGGGATCATGACCTGAGCCGAAGGCAGTCGCTTAACCAACTGAGCCACCCAGGCGCCCAGGAATCTACACTTCTCTTGACCAGGAGCCAGGTGACACTTGTGAGTTCAGGTGGGGCTGGGCAGAGAACCTCTGGCTCACTGCATCCCTACGTGGCCCCGAAAGACATCTGCCTTTGTGGCCTCTTGCAACTGCGGCAACCTTGTCTCATAGTGCAGTACTGTCCATCAAGGGATGAAAGCTAGGTCCTAGTCGAATCACCAGCCATGTTTACAGTACCCTATATTTTTATGGTCAAAAATAAATGTGTCACTCAAAACATGGAAATCTGGGGGTGGCTGGGTGGCTCAGTCAGTTAAGTGTCTGCCTTTGGCTCAGGTCATGATCCCAGGGTCCTGGGATCTAGCCTGGTATCAGGCTTCCTTAGGGAGTCTGCTTCCCTCTGCCTCTGCCTCTGCCTCTGCCCCTCCCCCCGCCCCCCACTCGCTCTTGTGAGCTCTCTCTCTCTCAGAAATAAATATTTTTTAAAAACATGGAAATCCTCTTGATATGGCTAAACATGGCACTCATCAGTGTTGCAAACTTGTTTGACTTGTAAATGAAAATGCAGTTGAAATTCTGTGGGTGTATATGAATAATTTCAATTACACTTCTAAAGTTCTATATGGGTATGCACATTAGAGGAGACTTGGGGCGCCTGGCTGGCTCAGCCGGGAGAGCATGTGACTCTTGATCTCAGGGTTGCAGGTTCAAGCCCCATGTTGGGTGTAGAGATTACTTAAAAATAAAATCTTAAAAGAAAAAAAAGAAGGAGTCTCCATGAGAAGGCAGGCAGTCTGAGAGGCTCTGTTCATGACCCTGTCCCATTAGCAGTTTATTGGATGACTAAGATATCAGAGGGTCTAGGACACAAGACAGGTAGATTCTAACAGTCTTGAGGAGAAAGGACAGGGACAGGTGGCAAGTCTGGGACCCAGGATGGGGCACAGATAAGACAGTGGCCAGGTTCTGAGTAGGCTTGGGAGAGCAAGGCCTCTCAGTGATGGGGTTTGGGAATATAGGTGAGGTTCAGCGCGGTGGGTGTTGGGAGCACACAACTAAGAAAGAATTCTTGAGACGTCTTTGGTGCAAAATGATGGTTTATCAAAGCACGGGGACAGGCCCCGTTGGGCAGAAAGAGCTGCAACACTGGGGGTTGTTAGGGGTGGCTGATTGTATACCATGGGGTTGGGGGAGGTCAGGAAAAAGGTTTCAAGAGAACTTTCATATGCTAAGGAGGACCTACAAGATAGCGGAGGCCTTGCCATTGTCAAGTTAAGGTTGTTTTTCCCCTCTGGCAAGGCATTAACATTAAGACAGTTGGGAACTTTCTGGAGGAACATTACATTCTGCCCACTTCAAGTATCTGTCGATGGGCTGCAGGTTATAAGGATATTTAATTGTATTTGCATTCCCTTCTGGAAGCTATTGCTAAGGCTTTTGTAAGTAAACTGAGGGAGACTCGGGTCTTGCAGGATTGTGGTCTCAAGTTAACTATTTGTTTTTCCTTTTGGGCATTCAGGAGTGCCTGAGGAATGTCACATATATCCCATGGGGGGGCGGGGGTATGGGGTGTCAGCTTCTGCTTTGTCCTCAGCTTGCCTTCTGTTCCCTCAGCAGCAGCAGCACCCAGAGTGCCAGGAACTAACCTGGGACTTCCCTCCCTGCAAGGAGCTTCCAAAACCAGCCCTGCACCCAACCCACCTGTGGGAGACAGCATCACCCCAGAGGAAGGACAGAGACCTAAGAGAACAAGGCAATGCCTGAGTCAGACATCTCTTCACCAGCGTGACCCCCATCTATGACATGTGCTCAGTTGAGGGGGTGCTGAACCAGCTTTGTTCCAGGGTTGAGGGGAGGGAGGCACTGGGGCTAAGGAGCCTGGGGGGTGGGGGGGTGTCATCTGACTCGGCCTGGAGCTGGGGAAGTCAGGGAAGCCTCCCTGGAGAAGTGAAAGGTGACAAATGCCTAAAGACCAGAAGGGGCACCAGGCAAAGGTGAAGACAGGCCCTATTAACAATGAAAACAGCCTGAGCCAAGGCCAGGAGGTAGAGGTGGGAGCTGGGAGAAGGGGTCTAAAAATGATGGGCTACTGTGTGCAACTAGAAGGGAGTGCCCTGGAGGGGTGGGCAAGGCCTTGAATGCAAAGTTCAGCGATTCATACTTTAGCCCCAGAGCAGTTCAGCACCATGGAAAGTTTCAAACACAGGAGAGACGGGGTCAAATATGTGTTTACTAAGCTCTTTCCAGGGGTGACACGAAGTCAGAGTGGAAGGGGCGGGAGTGGAGTGTGGAAACAGACAGAAGAAGGAACGAAGACCTGATGCTTGGAGGGAACCAGGGACCAGAGACTGGAGAGTGTGTCTTGCTCACAGCCTGAGAGGGACAACTCCACCTCTTCATTCTGACAACAGGGTCTCCATCATCTCTGCAAGCCTGGCCTTCCACTCACTGCAATAAACACTGCACGGAGGGCTTCAGCTTCTCCTTTATGGCCGGGTCAGCTGGAGGCAAATCCTCGACCTTCATGACAGCTGCATGTGCCTCCTGAAAGAGATCCTTCCCCACCTCGGCCTCCACACGTTGGCGCCATGCAGCCAGCTTGGGTCGGCTTTTGAAGACTTGGCAGCCAGCACTGACAGGCTTTGGGGAGAGGAAGCCAAGTGGAGGGGGTAGGCATGGTCAAGCACAAGCCAGGATGACCTGGTTGAGTAATTCCCCAGGGTGGATTTTCCTTCCTTGGCCACAACATGTAATAAGCTGGATGTTCTCTGGGAGACACTGGGAAGCTTCTCAGTATTGCTGCAGGATAGGGTCTGAAGCCCCATTTTACAGATGAGAACACTGAGGCTCAGAGAGGGGAGTGGCTTGCCCAGGGTCCCACAACCAGGAAGGGCAGCATTGGCTCCCTCCCAGGACACCCCACTGCCCAGTGGACCACCCCATGGCACTCACATGCATCAGCTCTGTGATGGCCACCAAGTCAGCCACTGAGATGTGAGGTCCAGCAACGAAGTCCTGGTCCTTTAGGAACTTGTCCTCAAGCAGCTGCAGGCACCTGTCCAGCTCAGCCAAGGTAGATGCCAATGTCTCAGGGGGCACCTGTTCACCCAGGAACACTGGGAACATCATCTGCTGGATGGGCAGGCAGAGAGAGGGCTTAGGGTCTGCTCAAAGCCTAGCCTAGTTCCTGCTCTCATCCGACCTACCACCAGGCCTTCAAATTTCTCCTCACTCCGACCCACTCCTTCCACCCACGGCCAACACCAGCCCAGGCGTCATCTTCTACTCCAACATGGACAGCCTCCACTCTCCCTAGGTCCTCATGCAAGGCAGCCAGTGGGGGGAACTTCTGGAATCCCAGTCTGCCCATAACACCCCCTGCATAAAGCCTTCCATGGCTCTCCACTACCCTCACCATGAAGGCCTCAACACAAGGCCCCTCCTCAGTGCAGCGGTCACCCTCTCCCCACTCCCCACCTCCTCCTCCACCCCAGGCTTCTCAAATGGGATGATGCATGTGAATCCCTCTGGGATCTGGTTAAAGTGCACATTCCTCCTAATCTGAATGCCCGGGTGGTGCCTGAGACTCTGCATTTCTTTCTTTTTTTTTTTTTTAAGATTTTATTTATTTGAGAGAGAGAGACAGAGCGAGAGAGGGAACACAAGCAGGGGGAGTGGGAGAGGGAGAAGCAGGCTTCCCGCGGAGCAGGGAGCCCGATGCAGGGCTTGATCCCAGGACCCTGGGATCACGACCCAAGCCGAAGGCAGACGCTTAACGACTGAGCCATTCAGGTGCCCCAAGACTCTGCATGTCTAAGTTCCCAGGTGGTCTGATGCTCCTGGTCCCTGGACCACAATTTGAGTACCTAAGGTCTATACTCACTCTGTTTGACTTCTCTCCATTCTGCCTTCAAACCCACCAGGCTCCTGCTCCTACCAGCTTGAAGGGGTTCCTCTTCTAGCCCCAAGAGGCTCGAGGAAGACACTTCTAAGGTTACAGAAACCTGCACTTTGCTCAAGGGCCCTTCAGAACAGTGGTACTCTATCTGCAGCAGAGTATGAGCATACCCTTCTCATGCTCCCTCCCATGAACAGGGCACCCACTGTGTGCCAAGCCATTTGTAAGTACCTTACAAATAACCATTCAGAGCACCCATCTCAAAAACATCCGTACATTTGATGGGTAAAAATGGTATGGGTGTGCTGTTTTAGTGTGCATTCACTTGATTCTTACTTAGGTTAAATGTATTTTCATCCACTTAATGACCATTTCTCTCTGTTCTTCAAGTAAATCTCCACTGGTTTCCTATGCCCATTTTTCTCCTGTGCCTTTGTTTGAGGGCTTTCTGAGAGCATCTTAAATACTAAGAATGTTACTTCTTTCAGGGGCAGCTGGATGGCTCAGTTAAGCATCCAACTCTTGATTTGGGCTCAGGTCATGATCTTAGGGTGGTGAGATGGAGGCCAGTCGGTCAGGCTCCACGCTCAGTAGGGAGTCTACATGAGATTCTCTCCCACTGCCCCTCCCTGCACCCAGTTCATGGGTGGGTGCGTGTGCATGCTCATGCGTGCTCTCTCTCTCTCTCTCAAATAAATGAATCTTTAAAAAAAATGTTATTCTTTTTTTAAAAAAAATATTTTATTTATTTATTTGAGAGAGAGAGCGCACAGAGGGATGGGAAGAGGGAGAAGGAGACTCCCCGCTAAGTAGAGAGCCCAGTGCAGGGCTCGATCCCAGGACCCTGAGATCATGACCTGAGCCAAAGGCAGATGCTTAACTGACTGAGCCACCCAGGTACCCCTTTCTTTTTTTTTTTTAAGATTTTATTCATTTATTTTAGAGAGAGCAAAAGCAGGGGGAGGAGGAGAGGGAGAGGGAGAAGCAGACTCCATGCTCAGTGCAAAGCCTGACCCAGGGCTTGATCCCAAGACCCTGAGATCATGACCTAAGCTGAAATCAAGAGTCTGATGCTTAACTAACTGAGCCACCCAGGCGCGCAAAATTTACTTCTAACAAATCTTTGCCAGTTTTTTGCTTGTTTTAAGTTTAATCCTTTCCTCCTTACACAAAATGTCATTGTATGTGTAAAATCTATTAGGCTTTTCTTTAAGTCTTTCAGTGTTTTTAGGCTTAGAAATCCTTGAATACCCAGAAATCAGATCAACTTTATTGAAATGATGCCTCATTTCTTCCTAGTTTGAGATTTTTCTGATTCCCAGCAGCTCAGGAATCAGGGCACATTGGGGGAAGTCACTCCCTGGCTCTGCCCGGGCTTCCCCTCTGGGAAACAAGTTGGCTGGACTAGAGTCTCTGGCATTCTAGAATTTGGTGTTCTAAGGCCTCAGGTCTGAGCAGAATTTTTTTTTTTCAAGATTTTATTTGTTTATTTGAGATCGAGAAAGTGAGCGAGAGAGTGAGAGAGCACAAGCAGGGGGAGTGGCAGGCAGAGGCAGAGAGAGAAGCAGACTCCCCGCGGAGCAGGGAGCCCGACATGGGGCTCAATCCCAGGACCCCGGGATCAGGACCTGAGCCGAAGGCAGACGCTTAACCGGATGAGCCACCCAGGTGCCTGAACAGAATTTTTTAAACCGGAAGCACTGTCCCTCGAGCATCCTCGAAGGGTCCCCGTCCTGCCATAGCTCACCTTCTGCCACATGGCTCGAGTGCAGCTACTCCGCAGGGCTGTGTGCTGCCAGGCTAGGTACTCGTCCACACGGGCACGGGCCTGCAGGTCCTGGGGGTACCAGTGGTCGGGGACCTCATACTTGCGACTCAGATACAACAGGATGGCCACACTGGGGGACACGGAGGGGGTGAGGAACATGTACTAGTCACTTTCCGGCCACTCCACAGGGGCTAGGCCCCAGGTGGAGGCTGGCCCCCACTACTCACATTTCCCCAACTCCTATGGTGGAGCATTACACTATCTCTGCACCATGATGCAGAGTAGGAATGTGAGGCTCAGAGAGGTTAGGTGACTGCCTAGGGTCGCACAGCTCTACACTGGGTCATCCTATCATCTGAACTAAGGGCACCGAGTGAAAAACAAAACGTCTTGGGATTTCAGAAGGAGGGTGATGGGGTACTCAGAGAAAGCTTCCGGGAGGAAGGGGGGCCCAACATGGTTCCTGAAAGACAACAGCAACTCAACACTCCCCACCATATCCCGTGCATGGTCACGACAGGAGCAAGGCCAGCTGTCCCCTCACACTCCCTGGGGCTGGGACAAAGCCTCCCAGGTGATGGGTCACTGCTTCCCACCCTGTCCTACTCTCCTCTCTACCCGCCCAAAGCCTCCAGCCTCCTCCCCCAGGAAGCCCTCTCTGACCTCCTCCCCTCCCCTCTCCCTCCACCACGTCTGGCCGGAGCACCATGCCTGCATGGATGTTGGACTGTCCAACGACCAGAGGTTCTGAAGCCAAATGGAACGTGAATCTGGCTCTACCGCAGAGGTACTATGTGGCCTCAGTAAAGGATATCACTATTCAGTCACCAACCTGGAGGCTGGCCTGGGTTCTCATCTCTCCCACCTACCTCCATCTCTTCAGCACACTCTTGGGCTTGACCTTCAAGGGCAGTCAGAACTGACCACTACGTCCCCCTGTACCACCACCTTGATCTGGGGTCCCAGCACCTCTCTCCTGGATTAGCATAGTGCCTTCTCACCCCAGCCAGAGGGATCTTTTAAAACCTAAGTTGGATCTCAGCTCTCCTCTGCTTAAACTCCTACAATGGCCCCATCTTACCTACAGTAAAAGCCAAAGTCTTCCTGGCCCCACATGCTCCCCTCCGACCTCATCCCCTGCTTACTGCCCCTCCCTCACCCCAGCCATGCTGGATGTCTTGCCTCTTCAACCTGTCCCCCAGGCATTGTCCCACTTCATAGCCTTTGGCTTTGCTGTTCCCTCCAGCCAGAACACCCTTCCCAAATACCTTGCTCCTCTGTTCCTGTAGGTCTCTGCACAGATGCCTCCTCCTCAAGGGGCCCTTCACTCGACATCCTACTCAAAATTGCACAGCCCCCCACTCTTAGCCTATTTATTTTCTCCATGGGTTACACCTTACAGAGATTAGCAGTCCTCCCTTCTAGAATATGAGCTCCAGGAGGCCAAGGGCTTAGAATTGTTCATTGCTTTGGCACCACAGCCTAGATGGTTCTTGGCCCTGGTGGGTGCTCAGCAAATAGCCACTGAAGCTCTCTGGGTGCTCTCTTGACTCCCAGGGCAATAGTACTTGCCCCCAAAATTTCTAGAAGTGGTAGGGTACAGCTACTCCTCAAAATTTAGCTCTCTGCTCTCCTTCCATCTGGGGGCTGGGTTGGCAGAGAGGAGGCCTGGAAAGAGGCTGGGCCCTGTGACCTTGGGCAAGCCCCTTCTCTCTGGGCTTCAGTTTCCTCCTTTATACTATGGGCTGGAGGGGCGGGAGGGGCTGGAGGGGGGGATGCCATGACTTCAATAGCTCCTCCCAGCCCCAGGCTCCTCTGCCTGCTGGGGCTCCCACAGGTGCTCAGGGCACGCAAGCCGTGATCCAAGCCATCAGCAGTAGATACATGGATGACTGACTGGTCTCACAAGGCCTGGGTAGCAGCCTGGGGACCTGATACCTCTCGGCCAAAGTGAAGTCCCCGTCCTTCAAGGCTGGCACCTTCTTCAGGGGATTCACCTGGGCAAAAGCATCGCTGTGCTGCTGGCCTGTGGGAGAGAGCAGTGAGGCTGGTGAGGAGAACTCTGAGCCCCCCCACCCCCGCCGAGGCCTCTCCCCACCGCCACCCCAACATCCAGGCCCCAACTTTCTGAGGCCCCTATCCAGGTGGGCAACAGGAAAGAGACCACTCTACTGGCCACCAGATCACGGACCCTGACACCACCAGAGGCCGACCCTTCCTGCGTCCAGCCCCACTGGGAACCCGGGCCAAGCAGCATCTCAGCTTGGCCATGAAGGGAGGGTGAGTCCCTGAAGCTGCAAGTCACGCCCCACCCCCAGCCCCAGCCAATTCATCCATGTGTCAGACACTCCAGTCTCCTCCTTGGGCTCTAGGCTTGCCCCTGCCATCCATCTTCCTAAGCTGGCCGGGTGCCCTGTCCACACCACACCTGCCCCCAGCCCTCAGTCCAGCCTCATTCTCTCCAGGAGCTCCCGCCCTCTTCAGTCACCCAGGCTCCAGCAGCTCAGCTCTTCTTTCTGTCCCGTGCCAAACTCTCAAAACTCCTTCCCCAATGGGGGTTCGCAGGTCTGTTCACTTCTGCATTCCTTGAGTTGGGCCAGTGCTGGAGGGTACAATTTACTGTGTGCGGAGTCAGACGGCCTCTGTGGAACCAGGCTCCAGCCTGGCCGTAGGCCCACCTGTGGTTCTCTTTGCCCTTCTCCTGGGTGAAGAGAATCAGCCCTACCCATTCTCCCTCCAGAAAATGCCTCTGTGCCCAGCCCCCAACCCAAGAAGGGCTGGAAAGTTGGAGCAAGGTGGCAGCATAGTACTTGGTGGCCCAAGCTGGGGGCACCAAAGACAGAAGGTGGGCAGGCTCAGACAAGAAGAGATCTCCCCCCTGGCCTGCCCAAGGGTAGGCCTGCTGTCCAGCTGTCCTGCGGTCCAATTACAGCCCTGCCCCTCCACTGGATCCTGTAAATGTGGAGGGGAGGTAGGCAGGCCTAGGTAGAAGTAAAGAGACCATTTCGAGGTGGAACCGCCTTCTTCTGCAGGCAGCTGCAGACATTCAAGAGATGCAGGCTACTCCAATTCAGAAATGAGGAGGCAGTTTCATTGTTTTCTCCAAGCCCGGGGCCGGGCCGGGGGAGGGGGGGGGGGAGGTATTGGGGCACTCACTCCACTTCCCCACACCCCCCTTCCCGCCCCCCACCCCACGCCCCCCACTGCTCCCTCTCTCGGCTCTGCTCCCTCTCAACCTGTATTTCTTTTTAAAGATTTTATTTGTTTGACAGAGAGAGACAGCGAGAGAGGGAACACAAACAGGGGGCGTGGGAGAGGGAGAAGCAGGCTTACCGCGGAGCAGGGGGCCCAACGCGGGGCTCGATCCCACGACCCCTGTTCACGACCCGAGCCAAAGGCAGATGCTTAAGACTGAGCCTCCCAGGTGCCCCTCAACCTGTATTTTGAAAAACGTTTCGTATTCACTAGGCAAAGATCGGGGCTCTTGAAAATGACACAACCGATAACCGATTACACAGTTTCCGTACTGGAGGGTGTCACCTCCAGTCGGTCTGCCGCGCCGGCGGGCGGGGGTCCGTCAGCACACAGGCGCCCCCGACCGCAGGGCCTGCCTCCCTGCCAGGCCCACCTTTGAGCAGCTCCACCGAGCGCAGCTCGAAGGGGATGCCGTTCTTCTTGGCAAAGATGTAGACGGCGCGGGAGGGCTGGGACAGCAGGTCCAGGTAGAGCTCTAGGCCCATGGCGGAAGCAGCGGACCACCCCCGGGGTCGCGCCCAGGGTATAAGACCGGGAACAGAAACGGCCAGGCCACCCTCCGGGGGAGAGGGGTTGGGGTGGAGGGGGGGCGTCTGAGCCCCGCCACACCCTCCCCGCCCACTGGATGGCTCTAGAGAACTTTGGGCCAATCAGCGGCGCCCCAGCTCTTCCTCCCTCCCTTCCCTGGAATCGGGGCTGCAGTTCTCTTGGAGAGGGCGCTGGCAGACTTGGCCTCTGACCTGAGATTTCGTTGCCAGGTCACACCCCTTTCCCGGACCTCAGTGTTTACCTTTGTCAAATGGTGCAGTGGAGGATGGAAATGGGAACGGGACGCCAAGGACGGGTCCAGCACAGACCCTCAGTGAATTTAGGATCGAAAGGGCTCAGCTGCCTTCAGTTGGCCCAAGCTACCTCCCCAGACTCAAGGAGGGGACTGAGAGAGAAGGGGCTTCTAAGTCCCCAGGAACACAAAGGGAGGCAGAGAACGGAGGTACAGTAGCCTCCCCTGGGCCCAGTGCCCAGGATGGAGGCTGCGGAGGTTTCTGGACCCCAGCTCCTTACAGAGCCCTGGCCCAAACTCCAGGTAAAGAATGAGCCACCCCTCCCTAATCCCTGGGGTCATATTCATTACAACCCAGCTAATCCTTCTAGCAAAAGGCGGAAGACAGTGGGGCCCATCCAGAGGTTTGCAGGGGGGCCTGAAACTTCCTCACTTCCTTTGCAGAGCCAAGTCCCTCCAACTTGACACCATCTGGCCCCTGAGGTCAGTGGCTATGAACCCCCATTCCCTAAGAGAGGCTCTTGGGGTAAGAAAACCCAGCCCCCAAAGCGAAGATTCACAGAAAACCCCTTGGCAAGAGGATGTTATTGGAAAATTTAAGTAAGATTTAAATAAGACCTATCCCCCCAGGAGACTGCCTTCCTGTGCTAGTGCTGGAGCCCTATCCAGGCTGGGAGGGGCCGTCTTCTCCAACCCCTTCATTGCCCTGCCCTCCTGCACAAATCACTTTGGCAGGATCACTATAATATCCAATTTCCCTGCTTCCTCTTTGGCCACCCTCAAGTGCAAGCCCTCTCACCCCCCTGGGGAGGCAGAATATTATTTTAAAATACAGTGTGGTGGGGTGTCTGGCTGGCTCAGTCACTAGAGCAAGCAACCCTTAATCTCAGGGTCATGAGTTCAAGCCCCACAGTGGGTCTGGAGCTTACTTAAAATAAAATTTAAAAGGGGCGCCTGGGTGGCTCAGATGGTTAAACGTCTGCCTTCGGCTCAGGTCATGATCCCAGGGTCCTGGGATTGAGCCCCGCATCGGGCTCCTTGCTCAGCGGGGAGCCTGCTTCTCCCTCTCCTTCTACTGCTCCCCCTGCTTGTGCTCTCTCACTCTGTCAAACAAATAAATAAAATCTTAAAAAAAATAAAATAAAATATAAAGAAAGAAAGAAATGCAATCTGAGCACACTATGCCTATTTAGGGTTTATAGATCATAGGCATGGCCTTTAAGGCCCTGCATGACTGATTCCTGACCAGGAGAGCTGCTGTTTAGATTTGCCCCACCTGATCAATTCAGCAGAACAGAGGCAGGACTCATGAGCTACGGAACTTGATGCCAAAGGGCCATGTCCTAGGAGGTTGGCCCAGCCAACTGATTGATCACCATGCCTATAGTCACCATATATGGGATGCCTGCTGATTCTTATGGTGTCTGATACATCACTTTCTCCAAGAATTAGAAGAGTAGAGGGCATTTGTTAATTTCACTCTTGGCAACCATCATGGGGAAGCTGACCCATAGGGCCTCAGAAGGGGGTTGTCTTTCGGGTAGAGACCAAGACCAGGGCCAAGACAGAAGGTCAAATAAATCACACCTCCGAGTTAGAAGCGTAGGCTCAGGCTTAGCCCAGGTTTATTTCCCAAACTGAAAACAAGATGCAGTGATTAAAGGAGATAAGATCAGGCTATTCCGTTCTCATTGTGGCTTTTAGGCAGCTGTGCAAGATGGTTCGGGTGTAGGGACCTGACCTGGGGAGCACAGGTGCAGTGGGACTGATCAGGCAAATCACTACTGCCCTCTGAGCCTGCCTCCCATGGGACAGTGGAAATGAAGGTGCTTTGTGAACTGCCACGGTCAAGCGCAGGGACTGGGCTTCCCGGCTCACTGGATCATGGCCAGCACCAGAGGCATCAGCTTCTGCTTTATGGTGGGGTCTGCAGGTGGAGAGTCCTTGGCCTTCAGGATGACCTCATGGGCCTCCCGGAAGAGATCCTCCCCCACTGCTGCCTCCACACGCTGGCGCCATGCAGCCAACCTGGGTCGACCTTCAAAGACTTGGCAGCCAGCACCCACAGGCTGCAGGGAGAAAGGGAACAGGATGAGGGTGGATGGGTAAGGTCAAGGATGGCAGCATCTGCCTGGTTAGGGGGGCCCCAGAGCTCCAGAAGAGGCTTCCGCACATAAGCCTGGCACATGGCCAGGTGGGGGGCAACATAAGCCCAGGGCCCTCCCTGCCTGGCAGGCCACCCTATCCATAACACTCACATGCATCAGCTCTGTGATGGCTACCAGATCAGCCAGCGAGATGTGGGGCCCGGTGAGAAAGGCCTTGTTCTGGAGGAACCTGTCCTCAAGCAACTGCACGGTCACATCCAATTCAGCCAGCGTGGCTGCCAACATCTCAGGAGATACTGGCTCACCCAGGAAAATAGGGAACATCACCTGGGAGGTGGGGAGGCAAAGTAGAGGGTTAGGGGCCAGCCCAGCCTCAGGGGCAGGAAGGCAAGTGGGCCTCCCCCACCCCAGTTTGAGCTGCTTTCTGGTTCCATGCACCTTTCTTCTAAGGCTGGGCGAGGCCTTCAGGGAAATTCCCAAAGGACCACCTCTCCCAAAAATATTCCTGCTTCCGTGTTCTCTGATGGCTGAGCCTCGGGGGCATCTGACAGAAGGACTCAAACCCCTTTGAGAATGACTCAGGGGGGGACTTGAACCATGAATTTTATACTTTGGAAGTGTAAATCTAGCCTAGGGACAGTCTATGTTATAACCTCTTTCCCCCTGAACGTAAAGTCAGTACCTCTTACTGTATAATTAGGAAGATGAGCTTGTAAGGTTTCCACTCTGCCACTTACAAAGCGTGTGACCTAAAGCAAAATACCTAAACCCTCTGAGCCTCAATTTCCTCATCTATAATATAGGAATAATAGTACATGACTCCTCTTGTAAATGGAAAAGTGGGGCCCAGAGAGAGAGGGACAGTCAGTTGCCCGAGACGGCAGAGCCAAGAAAAGACTAAGCCAAGAGTAGAAGGGACATTTTCCAGCAACGAGCTACCAGGAACTAAGGAGGAGGGCCAGGAAAGAGCGGTGTCCAGGATTCTGGGAGGAAGGTGTTTTAGGGGGAAGCCATCAACAGCCTCACGGGTTGGCAGAGCTGTCGGGAGATACAGTGGATGGGGAGCAAGGGAAGAATGCTTCATGCTTTATTTGGTAAAGTTGCTTGGGGGAGACTGGGATTTAGGTAAACAGGACTAGGATTGTACATGAGCCCTGGCTTTGGGCTTCCAGTTTCCTCCTCCATACAAGGTAGACAGAATCAGCAGTCGCCCACTGGTACCCTGGAGGCCAGCCCTAAGCTAATGACATTCCTTTGGCTATAGAGTTTTTAAAAATATGGATCAGGGGCGCCTGGGTGGCTCAGTCAGTTAAATGTCCAGCTCTTGATTTCAGCTCAGGTCATGATCTCCGAATCATGGGATTGAGCCCCACGTTGGGCTCCATGCTAGGCATGGAGCCTGCTTAAGATTCTCTATCTCTCTGTCCCTTCCCTCCCCACTCTCTCTCTCTAAAATAATAATAATAATAAAAATAAAAATATAGATCAGTTGCTGACATTTAAAAATGGGGGCATTTCATACAGGAGTCCAGATTTCCAGCTTCTTTTTCTTTTTTTAAGATTTGATTTATTTATTTGAGAGAGAGAGACAGAGAGCGAGCACAAGTGGGTGGAGGTGCAGAGGGAGAGAGAGAAGTAGACTCCCTGCTGTGCAGGGAGCCCAAGGTGGGGCTAGATCCCGGGACCCTGGGATCATGACCTGAGCCAAAGGCAGCCGCTTAACGGACAGCCACTCAGGTGCCCCTCCAGCTTCTTTTTAATGTAAAGGGTGTTGGCCACAGGGTATCCCTGCTCAGTATCTAAGGCTGATGTTGGGGAGAAGCCACTCCTTCAGGAGGGCACAATGGGCTCTCACTCTGCACAACCGACCTAGCCCTCCGCCCTCATTTTTTATCGTCCTCGCCCCTGCAATAGATTGTCTACATCTCCCTTCTGTTCTGGTTTGGTTGATCCAAAATTCTTAGGGTTTTATTTTTTTTTTAAAGATTTTATTTATTTATTTATTTATTTATTTATTTATTTATTTATTTGACACAGAGAGACACTGCGAGAGAGGGAACACAAGCAGGGGGAGTGGGAGAGGGAGAAGCAGGCTTCCCGCAGAGCAGAGAGCCCGATGCGGGGCTCGATCCCAGGACCCTGGGATCATGACCTGAGCCGAAGGCAGATGCTTAATGACTGAGCCACCCAGCCGCCCCAATTCTTAAGGTTTTAGAGAGTGGTTTTGTTCCTCTTTAAATATAAAAGGTCATAATAGGGTAATAAATACATTCTGATTTATTTATATAATGAATTACTATAGAGTCGTTAAAATGGATAAATTAGGTCCACCCATGGCAATACAGAAAAAGGCACATTGCACAGTGATGTGAGAGCATTTATATAAAATTTTAAACGCTCAAAGCAAAACTTTATTTTGCTTATGATGACACCTAAGTGTAATAATGCATAAAATCGTGAACTGGAAGACTCCCACCAGATCCCAGAGCAGAATGGCCTCTCAGGAAGGAATGAGGACAACGAAGAGGTCTTTTGAATTTTTGTCCTGTTTCTGTTTTATATAAGAAATGACAGGAGACAGAGAAATAAAGCCCATGACCCACAATTAGCCATACACTTTAAAAAATAAGGCTACCTCTCTCTCTCTGTCAAATAAATAAATAAAATCTTTAAAAAGAAAAAAAGGAATCCCGCTTCTGATAAGGACATCAACGTCACAAAAACCATAGCTCCCATCGTAACAATGGTGGAAAGAACATAATCTTATCTTTCTCTAAAGCCATCAAAGAGTTATAGAACTTTTAAAAATAAAAAATAAAAGAAAGGACAAAAAACAAAAAAGAAAAAAAGCCGAAACCTATGATGTCTGATATGGTAGCCGCTAGTGGCTAGCTCTTGAAATGTGGCCGGTCCTAACTGAGTTGTGCCGCACATGCAAAATACACACCAGATTCCGAAGACACAGTATGAGAAAAGAATGCAAAATAGTGCATTAATGATTTTTCTACTGATTACATGTTACTATAATTTTTTTAATTTTTAATTATGGTAAGAGACACGTGGCATAAAATTTCCCATCTAACCATTTTTAAGTGTACAGTTCCATGGCACTAAGCACATTCACACCAGAAGCATGTACAACTATCACCTCAGACATAGTAGAGGGAAAGCAAGAGGGGACTAAGCTCCTGTGAAAGTCACCGGTCTGAGACAAGGGTTAAAAGTTTCCATAAGAAAAAAAAAAAGTTTCCATAAGCTTGGAGACAAATATCTCCTTCTGGGAAAGAGAATGAATGAGAGATAAGAGCCGTGAGGGAGTAATGGTTGCCTGAATTAGAGGTAACAATTTAAAGCCTGCTTGCCCAAGTATTTCTGTTTTCCAGGAGCCCTAGAAGAATGTCGACCATGAAGAAAAGCATCTTGTGATTGTCTTGTGTCCACTAAAAAGTGACGCCCACAAAAAAAAATAATAAATAAATAAAAAGTGACGCCCACAAGATAATGACCGTGGGACTGAAGGACGCTTCCCCATTCCCAGCCCCTCACCCTTTGGAAAAGTGCCTTTATAAGCCTCGCACGCTACCGAGGCGGGTGGCGACATTCCTCTGTCTTGTCGGCCCCCTTTTATACAAGCTATCTCTAATAAACTCCACCTGTTTTCTTTCTCTCAAGTTCAGTGTTCATTTCTATGACATTGAGACTCAGGAACCTAGACTCAGGGGTTAGGTAACACCACCAACCATCTCCAGAACTCACTCGTCATCCCAAACTGAAACTGTCCCCATTAACCAAAACTTCCCATACCCTCCTCCCCCCAACCCCTGACAGCCATCCTTCTACTTTTTTGTCTTTATGAACAGAACTACTCTAAGGATCTCATATAACTGGAATCATACATGGCTGGCTCAGACAGAAGAGCATATGACCTTTTTTTTTTTAAGATTTTTTTTTTTAATTTGACACAGAGAGAGAAATAGAGAGACAGTGCACAAGCACGGCAAGTGGAAATCAGAGGGAGAGGCAGAAACAGGTCCCCACTGAGCAAGGAGCCCAGGACCCTGGGGATCATGACTGAGCCACCCAGGTGCCCTTCTACCTTTTTTTTTTTTTTTTTTTTAATCAGAACAACCAGTATTCACTGTTTAGATGAGAATGACAATAAACGATTTTTTTTTTAAATGACACACATAACACTTATTTAGAGACTTACTTAATAAATAGTCCACCTTTCAATATTAGCTCTTAACACTTCCATGGAATTGGCAAAAAGCAAATTCGTGACCCTGAAGTGATAGTAGGTCTCAAAGTGATAGAACCTGAGACTTGTCAGCCGATTCTCCTACCTTCATGTCATCGAGGAGGTAATGGGACAATATGAACATATTCGATTCCTAAGGTACCCTAAATGACCCACATATTCTTTAATATTCAGCTGTACTAAACAGGTTTTTTTGAAAAGAGTATGTGAAGAAGTTATCATTGCGCCTCATTCTGACAACGGTATTTTCTGCTTCATTTTCATTTTCAACACCAATAGAATATGGTGCTCTTCCTAAAAGAAACTGTTCCCATTTGGGAATATATTCTTCTACTGATGTCCAGTAAAGAGTCTCAAGAGAAACCACCTCTGGTGATGGAATTGGGTGAATCCGGGTCTATAGAGACTTTTCTGATGCTTCTATATCCATTAAAAGACCAAGGTTCCTTTTACAAGCAGTCTCAGCTGCTTGCATCTGCGATGCCTTTTCCTTGTTTTCATCTATAAATTTATTCTACCTTTGTTGAAGTAACATTAATCTTTGTGATACGATTTCTTCATGTCTTTTATAAAGGTGAATTTCTTGAGCAAACAAGAACGTCATCTTTAGTCAAAGCTGCCTTATAAGCTTTCTGCTTGACTGAAGAGCCTGGGCCAATACAGATAAAGATCAAGTGAAGGCTCTTAAGGCTCGGAGCCTGAAGGCAAATCATCTGGTTGCATGCAAAAGCTGAAGGTGACTGTCCCAGTCGCACTTGGACCTCATCGGTAAAGCTCTACCTTTTTTTTGAACATAATGTCTAGCACACCATAAAAAAAAGAAGAAAATGTGACCCATAATCAGGCGGATAAAAAAATGGCCAATAGAAATAGACCCACAGGGGACCGAGGTATGAAAATTAGCTGACAAAGACTTCTAAGTAACTATTATAAATATGTTAAAAATTTTAGAAGAAAAGATGGACCAAATGGGTAAACAGATGGTGAATTTCAGCACATAAATGGAAACTTAAAAAAGAACCAAATGGAATTTCTAGAACAGAAAAATACATGTCTCAAATAAAGACTGTATTAGATGGGTTGGATAGCAACGTGGAGTCAAAGTTAATTTCATAGAGACGATCCAAATGGAAAAGAATGCAATGGTGCTTTAGCCCCTTTGGGGCGATGACCTCAGGGCCTCACCTTATGCCACAGGGCCCGGAGGCAGCTTCTCCGCAGGGCTGTGTGCTGCCATGCCAGGTACTCATCCACAAGGGCGCAGGCCTGTACATCCTGGGGGTACCAGTGGTCGGGGACCTTATACTTGCGGGTCAGGTAGAGCAGGATGGCCACGCTGCAGGGGAGGGATGACATGATGGGTGGAGGAAGGACACTGTGCTAGGGGCTTCATCAGAGTCCCTTCTTTAATCTTCCTGACGATGTGCCAAGGTATTTGCCTCACTTTCCAGAGAAGGAAGCCAGGCTTAGACAGTGAAGGGACTTGCCCAGGGCACAGAGACTTTGGTGGCAGGGCTGAGAGTCTTTCTGAGGCTAACACGCGAGCTCATCCTCCCACCGGACAAAAGCCCACAGCAGAGTATCCTGCCAGGTGTTCAGAGACAGTCTCTGATCAGAGGGTCAGAGGGCTTCCTGGAGGAGACACCATCAAAGCTGAGCCTTAAATAAGCTCAGTTCTTTCCAGTCTGCATCCATTCTCATCCTCTGGCATCCAGACCAGCCTCAGATGGCCTGACCACTCAAAAAGGCACTCCTCTCATCTTTCTGTTCTCCCTAAAGCACCCTGTAGGAAACACTGGGGCTGCCGCAGGATCATGGAACAGCAGAACAGACCAGGCCTCTGGAGCTCTCCTCCTGCCCTAGGTTATGAGGGCTACCATGGTGTTGGGACAGGGATAGACCTGGAAGGGCCCTGAGGATGCATGAATTTGGGGCCATAGGAAAGCTTTCAGGAACTTGGGGTACCCCAAGTGTTGTGCACCCCAGCCAATAAGGGCAGAAAACCTCTGTTCCCTCTTAGGAATCCTGTATCCATGCCCTGGCTTAACAACTCACTACTCTGTACGAGAGCTCCTTTTCCTCCCAGCTAATGGTTCAAACCACCTCTGGGGAGGGCTGCAGGTCCCCGGGAGTCACAGACCTCCTGACAGTGAGTAAAGACACAGAGGAATGCAGAAATCGCACAATGCTCCTAGCAGGTACCGTGATGCTCAACACTGGGTGACACAAGGACCCAGGACAGTAGAGAGCAGCAGAAAGAAAAAAAAAATGACACTGGCATAGTGTTAGGAATTCTTGGAGGGATGCACCCATCTCACAATTCCAAAGATAGGTTCTAAAACTTCAAGTTCCCCTTGTTATGGGTGGGGTGACTCAGGTGACAAAAGGGGCAGAACTGGGAAAAAGACTTGACCTTTTCACTTCTTGGGACCTGTTGTGATGTAAAACACCCACATGTCTCATGGTCCTCCCTCGGGTGAGGCCCACCCAGGGAGGCTGCAGCCCAGACTTGGAGCCACTGGGTAGCCCAGATGCCCATGGGCCATCTTGAGCCAGAGCGCTGCCCCTGCCCTGCCCTGCACCCCTGCCCTGGGGCACCCTCGCCAACAACCACAGGATGGGTACAGAAGTAAAATAGATGTTTACTTGTCCAAGCATCTCTGTGAAGTGGACCAGCGGGCAGGCAGGGGTCCAGGTTCCAGCCCTGACTCTCTATGGGATGTTGGGCTAAGAGCCCTTCACCTCTGAGGATTTTAGTTTTCTGTCTCTGAAATAGAGAGTTAGGGGGAGCCTGGTCAGCTCAGTCAGTTAAGCAGCCGACTCTGGGTTTGGGCTCAGGTCATGATCTCAGGGTCCTGGAATCTAGCCCCTGTCAGGTTCTGAGCTCAGCAGGGAGTCTGTTTGTGGATTTTCTCTCTTCTCCCTCTTCCTCTGCCCCTCACTCAGCTCACTCAAGCTCTCTCTCTCTTTAACATAAATAAATAAATAAATAAATACAATAAAGGGTTAGGACAAGATGGTTCCAGTGAGTTCTGGTAGCAGCCCCAGGGCCCCAGTTACCTCTCAGCCAAGGTGAAGTTTCCATCCTTCAAAGCAGGCACCTTCTTCAGGGGGTTCACCTGGGCAAAGGCATCACTGAGGTGCTGGCCTGCAGAGAGCCCATCACGGTGAGTGAAGGAGGAAACACTGAGCCCTGCCCACTCCCTACCATGCCCAGGCCCCAATTTCATGGCTCTTCTCCAGCCCCCAGGTGCTCTCCTGCATGGCAAAGGCTAGCGAGGGCCACTTTGGGAGAAACGGGATGCTACTCTGCCAAATGTTGCAAAATGGACCTCGACATCCCATGCCAAGTCCCATTGGGCACAAGCTCCACCCACAGCCCAAGGTGCAGGATGTGAGGCTTCAACTGGGCCTTCACACTCACCGCACCCACCACCTCTGCACCATCCCTGGCCTCATTAAGTACACATTCAGGGTGCCCCAAGCTGACGGAGGAGGGTGGTTGGTCACCCGAACGGCGCTCTGATTTCTTACAGCGCCCCTTTCCCGGTGGACTCCAAGGTAAGGTCACCAAACACAGAGAAGTGGCTTTTTCCTGGTATCTATTTACTTGCAAACAACTTCCACCCCTGCTCCTCTGTGTCTCCTTGTTCACCCTGCCCTGGCCACTGGGGACGCAGGGCTGGCCCTGCTTTTAGGCTCTGCTGCAGCTGCAACAGTCACATTTTTGTCCCACCTACAGCCCCCCAAAAGGTACAGCCCCATGTGACACCCCTGGGATCCTGGCCTCTGCTTGAGTTTGTGGGGCTGGTGCCTACTCCTGCAGATGCAGTCAGAGAGAAGCTTCTGAAGAGCATTTAGGCTTATCGCCACCCTGCTCAACAGCCTTCAGGGGCTCCCCATTACCCCAGGATCAGGTGGAAGCTCCTCGAAGCCATACATGATTGCCTTAACACTCTAGCCTCAAACACACCCACTATCCTCCCTTTTCCCTCCCTTTAGACTGTGCCTTCACCAGACACACCTGCCCGGCTCTCCTAGTGAAACACACCGCTCTGCACCCTTTATTTAACAGTCTGGCTGGGATGTTCCTTTGTCCCCATGCGCTGTCCCCTGTACTCTGCAGAGGTAACCCCTGGGCAGGACAAGTGGGAAATCCCCCCAGGAGAAGCTGGGAGAAGAGAGACAGGCCAGTATAAAGGCACAAAGGCAGGCAGGGGCCCAACCATGGTGGGGAAGTGATGGGGGGTGGGGAGTCTCAGCCAAGTAGAGTTACCCTACTTGCCCACCCGGCGATACCTGGGTTCTGCTTCCCTCTTACCCCCCAAATGCCTGCTGTGTCCTTGGGGCCTTGGGAGCCTGCCAGAGAAACACACCCTCCAGCTCAGAGTGCCCGGCCCAGCAAGCTCCGGCAGCCTCCCCTGCAGTCTCCCCTCAGGCTCCCGGCATACCCCCTGGGGTGCCCCTCCCGGCAGAAACCAGAAGGCAGAGGTAAAGCAGGAGGAGGCAGCGCAGAAGCAGGGACAGAGAGGGACCCCCAATGCAGACTGCGCCGATGCATAGCGCAGGGCTGGAAGGTCGGGACCCTGGTGACTGCTGTGGCAGATTTTCGGCAGTTGGGGACCACAAAGGAGAGACTCGGCTCTGCCGCAGTCTCTATGCTGGGCACCCTAACCCCCCACCTCCGGCCCCCATCTCTTTTCTGGAGGTCCTCTCTCCCTATGTCGAGATACACCCTGGTTTTGTTCACCAGGTCTCTCTTCTTCCTCAAGCTCCCCACCCCTTCACTCGGCCTCGGCCGAACCCCGTCGGTCTATCCCCCGGGACGGAGCAGAGTTTGGGGGATTACCCGATTCTCGGATCTCCCCGGTGGCTCACCTTTTTCAGCAATGGCCCTAAGAAGGGGTTGGCGCCGATCGTCCTCTTAAGCAATCTTTGGCCTCCCCGTTCCTCCCCGATCTCTCGGTTCCCAAACCCAAGCCTGGGCCCACCTTTGAGCAGGTCCACCGGGCGCAGCTCGAAGGGAATGCGGTTCTTCTTGGCGAAGATGTAGACGGCGCGGCAGGGCTGGGACAGCAGGTCCAGGTAGAGCTCCAGGCCCATGGCGGGGGCCGCAGGACCGGACTCGCGACCCCAGGGACTCCGCGAACCGGAGCGCAGCCAAGAAACGCACTCGGTCCTGGGGCCACGCCCCACCAGCCTCCGCTCCCCATTGGGGGACTGCGGTCACCCAGGCACTTTGGTCCAATCGTTGGAGCGGCCAGGGGCGCGTCTGAGGGGTTGGGACCAAGAGCGCAGGGCCCAGCCGGCGGGGTGGTGACGCGATGGTCGCCCCTCCAAGGGTCCCGCCGAGGGTCCCCAGTCCTTTGTGACCATCTTATTTCACTTACTATGGTGCCTTCAAGGTTCATCCACGTTGTCGCTGTCAGACTTTCCTATCATCTCCATTTTAGAGATGTCGAGATTGAGGCAAGAAGTGATTATGGACCCAGAAAGTCTGGTTCCAGAGTCCATGTTCCTAAGAACACTCCCGAGATCGTGATGCTAGCAAGTGGGCACAGCCTCAGGGCTTATGTTTAGCATTTTGTGGTAACTCACTCAGCTCAGATTATGCTTCCTGTAATTTGGCAGCCTTGGTCTTCCTGCTCCTGCCAGCACGGTGCATCACATTCCCTGAATTTGTTTCTTGCTGGCTCTGGGCCTCAGTTTCTCCATCTTTAAAATGATGGGGAGAGATCCAACAATCCCACTTCTGGGCATATATCCAAAGGAAATGGAAACAGGATATGAAAGAGATAGTTGCGCCCCCACGTTGATTGCAGCATTATTCACAATAGCCAAAACATGGAAATAACTAAGCGTCCGCCAAGGAAGAATGGATAAAGAACATGTGGTACGTATACACAATGGAATACTATTCAGCCATGAAAAAGAAGGAAATCCTGCCATTTGTGACAACCTGAATGGACCTTGGGGGCATTATGCTGAGTGAGATAGGTCAAACAGAGAAAGAAATATGGTGTAATCACACTTATTTGTGAAATCTAAAAAAAGCCAAACTCATAGAGGCAAAGTAGAATGGTGGTCACCAGGCACTGCGAGGTGGGAAGACTGGAAAAATGTGTAAGAGTACAAACTTGCAACTTGGAGATAAATAAGTTGTGGAGATCTATCACAACATAATGGTTATTAGTCAACAACATTTGTTGTCAACAATATAGACAACAAGTGTATTATAACTTCCAAATTGCTAAGAGACTAGATCCTAGTTATTCTCCCTATGAAAAAGAAATGATAATTAGGTGACATAACAGAGTGTTAGCTCATATTACAATATATAAATGTATCAAATCAACAAGTTGTACACCTTCAACTTCCACCGTGTTATGTCAGTTATATCTCAATAATAAATAGATAGGTAGACAAAACAATGAGGAGGCTAGAGCCCTACAGGGCCCTTACAACTCATCACCCCTGGACTCACCTGCTGAGCCTCAGCCTTGGGCCTGTTCCTTACCACCCCGGGATCCCCCAGAGCATGCCACCTGGCTGGTCATATGGTGTCAGTGTCATTTCCTAACATAAGTCCAACTGAAAATGCATCTGCAAGAACATAACATTTTCTACACAGTAAGAAAGCTCTTTGCAAAGAAAGCAAATGTTGGTAATAATGATTTTCAACTGAAAAAAAAATTTAAGGAAGGATGAGAACTTCAGATTTCAGATGTTGAAGTTTGAAAAAGGAGCTAGACACTCAGAGGTGGCAAGTTACTCGATCCCCACTTCCTGCTGACCCTAGGCAGCACCCCAGGAGGAGCTGGGCAGGATCCTGTCTAGGGCTCAGCCTCAGTCTTGAAGGCTCAAAACCCAATTTGGCCCATGTTCCAGAATTAATCTTTTTCTTAGGATCTGAACTCACAAGAGACTGATGGATTTCTTATTTTATAGAAAAAGAGATAAAGGCCATTTAGACAGAATGCTCCCAACCAATGCTCAGAGCACTCTAGAAGTGTAGTCTCCCAGTGAACCTGGGCAAACAGAGTGAGAACAAAGCAAGCCAGACCACCTGCAAGGCACCTTCCAACTGAAAGCTTTAGAGAGTCAGAAAAACCATCTTATTCATTAATTATTGCTACATAACAAATTACCACAAACTTAATGGCTGAAAACAACACATATTTATTATCTTATACTTTCTGTGGATCAGGGGTATGGGCATGGGCTCACTGGGTCCTCAGGAAGGCTGCAATCCAAGTGTCGGCCAGGACAGTGTTCTCATCTGAGGCTCAAATGGGGAAGGATCCGCTTCCGAGTTCACTCAGGTTTTTGGCTGGATTCATTTCCTTTCCTGGGTAGGACTGAGGGCCCAGGCTTCTTGCTGACCACTCTCAGCTCCTTGCCACAGGGACCTTCTAACATGGTCGCTTACTTCTTCAAAGCCAGCAAGGGAGAGAGTCTCTAGAACCAGTCTGCTAGCAAGATGGAGTCTTGTATAACAAAACATAATCTCAGAAGTGACATTGCATCACCTTTGTCACATTCGGTAGCTTAGAAGCAAGTCACGGGCCCTGGACACACTTGAGGGGAAGGGATTATATAAAGATGTGACATTGGGTAAGGTCATTGGGGGGTCAGTTTATTTTTTCTTAAGATTTTATTTATTTATTTGACAGAGAGGGTGAGAGAGCACAAGCAGGGGGGAACAGTAAAAGGAGAGGGAGAAACAAGCTTCCCGCTGAGCAGGGAGCCCGATGCGGGGCTCGATCCCAAGGACCCTGGGATCATGACCTGAGCGGAAGGCAAGTGCTTAACCGACTGAGCCCCCCAGGCACCACGGGGGGTTAGTTTAGAGTCTGTCCACCACACCTTCCAAGGCTTCACAGGTGTGCAACCTGTGCAACTGCCCAGCCCCCTGCATCTAGCCCCACAGTTGTTTTAATGCTTTGCTATTGCCATCTTCAAGTTCTTAATAATCTTTGATCAAGGGGCCCCTCACTTTCATTTGTAGCCAGTCCTGTCCAAGGGGTCCAAAGAGCTCAGAAAGCCAGACAGGGCATTGCTCCGGGCAGTGACAGGAGCACCTGACTAGGAGCTACTCTGCGGTCCCTCTCCCAGGGCCAGCTCTTTCCCTGTGGCATTTCACCCTCTTGACACTTAAACTGCTTCCATCTTTGACAAGGAACATAGGTGCATTTAAACATCTTCAGGTGGGCGCCTGAGTGGCTCAGTTGGTTAAGCGACTGCCTTCGGCTCAGGTCATGATCCTGGAGTCCCGGGATCGAGTCCCGCATCGGGCTCCCTGCTCAGCAGGGAGTCTGCTTCTCCCTCTAACCCTCCCTCCTCTCATGTGCTCTCTCTCTCTCATTCTCTCTCTCAAATAAATAAATAAAATCTTTAAAAAAAAATAAACATCTTCAGGAAAAAAAACATGTTTTCCCATTGAAGAGTTTACATGACCTAGGTACTTGCTACTCACATTCTGGTCCTCAGAGCAGAAGAAGCAGCAGCCTTGACCATGAGCTTGTTGGAAATTGTTGAGCTTCAAAATAGAAGTTATTTTACTAGCAAAAATGAGTTTATTCAGGAAGAGCAGAGAATTGCAACTCAGGACATGCAAGCTAGGGCAAAAACTACAGA